AAGATGGAAGAAGAACCCCTTCCTTGGATCTTTCGTCATCATGAATGGCTAGAAGCCCCTTTCCAACTGGACCCAAAGCCACAATCCTGGGACAGAGGCAGTTACCCCATCAGCTGGCTTGCCTGTGGTCATCCACTGGTGCCCCACACCTGTTGTGCATATCAAATAGCAAATAGCTGGAAAGCACAAAACAGCTCTGGCTGTTGTGGGGAAATTTTGAAAGTCCCCGTGTGAGAGATCCTGTCTCCCACATTGGGCCCCCAGTGCCACCCCTAAGGATCCTTGTTCACCCAGTTCTTCTCTTTCTTGGATTGGGTTACATCTCAAGGTGACCCCTCAGTGTGGACATGTTTGTGTGTTAGCTTTGTGTTCTTCATGGGAAGCAGGACTACACCTTGAGTCAGGGTGAAAGAAGACAGTCTGAGTCAGAGTTAACAAAAAACCAAGATAATTTATGTGGTTTATTATATCCTGAAGAATGCTTTAAGTGTCAGTAGTTAGTTCCAACCATATAAAGATCTTCAACCTGGGTTATGTCAAACCTTGACCTCCAACCAGTTCAAGCAACCAGTACACATTCATTCTCCATTGACTCATTCAACAGCCTCATCCAATTGTCAACTTTCAACTGTCCACCCTGTCCAAATTCCCTCAGACACACACTCCTTCTTTTATACTTTCTGATCTCACACAATCCTCTTTCACAGTCTCTCTTGAAGCCATGTTTGCCTAGTGTCTCCTTCACACCCTTCTCTCCCTTCTTAAAGTTATCTTTAAACTGGATTTTGGACTGGATGCCCATTTAAGCAGAGATTGTCCTTAATAGCTGCCCAGACAGGTCTTAACTCTGATTCTCCACAGTTGTAAGCATGCTCTGCTTGATGCCAACTACCATCTGATTTAAATAATTTTATTGAGGTAAGGAGACGTGTGTGGTAAAATCCTGCTTTAGGTTGATGACTCCCATTGCTCTACTCTGAGCTCACTACTTTGCTTGAAAATTTTTCCAAGGTTCAGGTGCAGGTTTGGGTGGCATACCACACCTTCCAAAGTTCTGCAGAGGAAAACTGGGATGTGTGTGGCTAAGCAATATCAGAGGGGTGCTCAAGATGGCAACAGAAAAACAAACAAGCTAGATGAGGCTGGAACAGTTTGCTTTTGCTGAAGCCTAATGGGAAGGACAAGATTCTGCCCCTATCTTCTTTCCAAGTTGATTAAGTGCAAACTATTTTTGCATTTTGGACTCAGTCTATGGCAACTGTTGTAAGGTGGGAGCAAAAGTGGAAAGTGGGAGGAGGAGAGAAAAACTGGGACATTTCAAAAGCAGCTGAGAAAGTGGAATGGCAGAGGGTTAATAGAGACTTTCTCTTTCAAACCAAGACAGTTCAAAGGTATGGAAGACAGGGACTAGTTTCACTGACAAAAGCAGTTATGATGGCAGAAATAACCCCCACACACAGACTTCTGAACTGATCCCCAGTCCCTGATTCTGTTAAACCTCTGTGTAATAGAACAGTAATAAAACTGTGCTCTGTAATTTTCAAATTCTCTTTCCATAACTGTTTTCCCTCCCTCCCATTTATTTCCTTTTGTGTTCTCCTTTGTATGCTCATTTTCTTTCAGAAAACTTTAGATTTTCGTTAAGATAAGCTTCAGGGAAGGAGTAACTGTAATTAGCACTTACAAGAGCAAGTTCCTTGGGGAATTTCAAAATAAGAACTTTTCCTACTGAGATAAATAGTGGCAATGTGGAAATCAAAATGTTTTGGTAGCACTTGATAGAACCACAAAGGCTCTCTAGTGAATTTTATCACATGGCAACGAATGCTTATTTGGTGCGCTGCATAATAAAGAAATGTCTAATGTCAAAACAATTGCCTCAGAAACCTCAGATAAGTTCTTTTCAAAAGTGTAAAATCTCACCACAAAAGAAATCCCTGCTGTTTCTCCAATTGACTAAACAAATTGAAGTGGGCAAGTGTTAAAAAATAATCTCTCTCCTTTCTGATAAGTTAATTTTTTAAATAGGGTCCTAAATGGGTGCTCTTGAGCAACTGGGGGGGGGGGACGAGGAATGTCAGATAACACGATGTATTTATTGTTTCAGCTATTTGCCTTTTAACTATTACACTGTTCCATTTCTCTTTCAATCATTTTGGGAACAGTTTAAGTACAGCTTGCCCTCCTTTCTCATGGCAGTGACCCTATTATTCTATTATATAAATGTGGTTCAGAGTAATAAAAGAGACACCCACCATCATTAATGCAAACCAACACATTTCCCTTTAATCGTCTGGCATCTCTTTGCCTCTCTCTGCATAATTAGTACATGGAGATAAACTGCTTTTTGGTTATGTTTGATTTATTCTGTGTGGTGTAATTATAAATAAATTCAATCAACGAATACTGAATAAATCATTTTCTGCCAAGAGAAAATTGAAACCGGTGGCCTTTTGTACAACAAAATCTCTCTCTCTCTCTCTTTTGGTCCTTTGATAGCTGTTAAACTTTCACTTTGTAAATATTTCTTTACAAATTAGATGACAATATGGAAATGTTCTTTATACTCTGTAAAGTATACAGGGATTGTCATTCCCTCCCTCCCTCGTTGCACATACATAGCTAGAAAATATAAATAACTGCACAATAAGCCTTTTGGAGTTTGCTGCTGTGCTAAATTGAATTAATTAATTTTCAAATTGTAGCAGTGCAGGGACCAGATATATTTTACGGATAGTCTACAAGAACTGTAAAGGGTGGAGGAACTGAACAAGACATTGTGAAGGAGGTTACATTTCCTAAAAACCACCTGATGAAAAAGTATGGGACATGCCGACTTGCCTCTGTGTGTGATTTATAAATGTAAGCTGCAATACTGATCCATTATGGTCAGTGCCTAATGTCTCTCTCTCTCTATATATAATGAGTTCATCAGGAAATGACACCTTCTGATCTGGAAGCCCTCTCTTCTGCTTTCTACTATGTGGACACTCTGTTAAAGCACTGACAGAAAGGCACTCTGCACTTGCCCAAGGACACTTTTATCCTTTTTCTACTTCAGCTGTGTACAGAAGGTAGGTTAGGATCTGCTGGTAGATCTTCAGGTGATTCACAGAAGATGCTCAAAGGTTTCTGGCTATTTTGATGAAGAAATTGTTTCATTAATGATGTAAAGAAAGTTTATTTGAAATGTAAAAAATGTATGTTGGATAATAAAATGTAATTTTTAAAGGTTTCAATTTAAAGGTGCAATTATAGCTTTACCTTTTATAATATCACAACAGCAAAAGATAGCATCAGTTAATATCATTTTGGGCCATGAGTGAATACAAGACAGCAGCTTTGGAGATTTACTTATGGAACATTTCTAACAAACAGCAGAAGAAGCATGGTATACAGAATCCCTATGACCAAGATAAGCAGCACCATTACAAGAGCTCTTGATACTTGGGATTTGTTGTGCATGTCTTAATAAATGTTACATGAATAGTGGCTAAAAGCTAAATTTTGTCTCTCCATGGCTTTTTGCTTGTCATTTACTCTGGGATCCTCTAACATTTCCTGATTCTAAAAGAACCTTTTGTTGACATGACATCTTTACCCAAACCATCTCCAGTTAGATTAGGTTTTTGTTATTTTATGTAAATATTTATTAAAACCATTATGGTTTGTTTTTTAAACTACAAACTGTATTTTTCTGAGTAAGTCTTTATTCTTTCTTTAGGAAAACAGATTTAAAATAATAGTCTCACCCACACTTTTGTTGTTCCGATGATGAAAGCTGAACTCTAACAAGTTTAACTTTCAAACTTCCATATTTTGTTTCCCTTTAAAAGAGTTAACACCTTGGGAAACTAAAACTGAACCCCACAAATCCTCCTCCTTTTTTGGATCTACTCCCATATCCCTTCCCATATCCCTTCCCTTCCCTTTGTGCCTTTTTCACTGGTGACAGCAAAATCTGCTGTGCCACAGCTTGGATGAAAGTGATCATGCCATAGACCACAAAGGAGCATTGTAGGTCTTGCAGCTTATTCTTCAACTGGCAAAACTCTGGGACTAAGTAGGGAATGGGGTACTTTATTTCCTGTTGTCAAAGCTTTTAATGACATGGGGTAGGAGTGTTTAAATGTATGTTTTTCTGGAAAAGATTGTGCACTTCATGTGTTTACGTAGAAGTCCAACTTTGGAAATTAGCCACTCACAAATCTGAACATGCCAACTCAAAGGTCAGTCCAACTGAGTTCAGTGGGGTTTGCTCAGAGGCAAGTATAGAATCATAGCCTAATTTTTCCAGTGTTTTTAAATTTATTTCCAAACATATACAGAAGTCAGTCTCAATCACCTACATAGTACAATTTTCTTTTTCAGAACTTTGACTTCCAACCTGGTAGGACTTGGTTATAGACAAGAAATTTCTGTTGCTGAAACATTGCACAACCTCACATAGCAAAGTCCAAATCATACACTAGAGATTTCAAATAGGATCATTTTAATGTACTTTTGTTAACTACCCTGGAAGAACATTGTCCTGAAAGTCTCTCTCTCTCTTTTTCTCTCTCTCTGCATAATTTTGTGGTGATGTCAGATGCAATTATGAATGGTGCTAATTAACCGAATGGGATTGATTTGGAGGAACAGGCTCTGGATAGGAAATCAATGGGTGAGACAGATCAGCTGAAAAGATACTGATTTTGAGCGATGGATGGACTACAAATTAAATTCTTCTAAATTTGTTGAGGGTGATTTAGAAATTTAGAGAAGGCTTCCCTTCTGCAAAATGTTAATTCAAACAATTCTTTATAAATGTGTCATAAACATGCTACAAATTTGTTGTTGTGGTGGTGGTGGTGTGCCTTCAAGTTGTTTCTGACTTGTGACAATCCTAATGTGAACCTGTCATGGGGTTTTCTTGGCATGGTTTGTTCAGTGAAAGTTTGGTAGTGCTTTCCCCTGAGGCTGAGAGAGTATGACTTGCTCAAGGCAACCAGTGGTTTTCTTGGCCAAGCAGGGAATCAAAACCTAGTCTCTAGAGTCATAATCCAATGCTCAAACCACTACACCACATTGCCATATGAAAAAATGGATTGAAGTTTTGACTGCCTCTTTGTTGTAACTCCTTTTTTGATGCATAGGCCTTATAAACACAGAGAAATGCATGAATGCATAGGACTTGAGTTATGACAGAAAGGTAACCCCCTAATGAAATGCACAAGCCCTCTCTGCAACTCCCACTGACCAAATCTGCCCCAGTAACTTTTGAACATCATAGTTGATTTATGTAGAGGGATCATTGATATATGTAGAAGGATCAAATGTAGAGGGGTCATTAGTTCCCCCCACAATAATTTGAACATTGTTAGTGCATGGCAAGTGCAGACCTGAATCCTCAAACCATAGCAGAACCTCCTTATCAGAGATTTTCTGTCTCACTCAATTGCTTCATCGGTTGAACAACCTTTAGCTGTTGGGAGCGAGCATCTTGTTGGGTGAGCCCCACTTTCAGGGGACACAGCAGTAACTTTGTAGGTCACATTTAGATATAAAACCAAGGGAAATAGATGTTACCATTTCATTTAAATAAAATTTCACTCTCAAAGCCAGCATAAAGACATATGATCCCACCATTCCTCAGAACTGCTCTGCCTTGGTGATACACTTGCAATGTTGCAATAAATCTGCCCACTCACACGGCACAGTTGTAGAATAATTGAGAAAAGGAAAACAGAATACTTGTATAATAATCTGTCATTGAAATGGGTTTGGTGCAAGCCATATTGTAGTAGGTCACTTTTTGATGATGCTTGAATGTTTCAATTTTGAAGCCGCCCTTCCCAATTCTAGGTTTTATGACTATTTTTAATCACAGAGCTTCTCCAACCACTGAGTACCTATTTTAAGTTATCTCACTCACGGCCTCTCTCTGTCCCCCAGCCCAACCATCACTTCTATTACCTGTTCAAACATAAATCACTTGCATTGGACACAGGGCAAAGAATATAGAGCCTCCTCTTCACCAGGTAATCAATACACTCCAGAGATAAGCTAGGTATCCTGAAGTGTCAGGAAAGTGTCAGTTTGCTGTCTCCTCAGGAGCTCCACATATGTTACGGAGGCAGTATACTTCATTCCAATCCACCAGAAAAAAAGGAAGATCTTTCCCCCCTCTCCAGTGAACGGGAGTTCAAGAGGTTATAAGTGAAGGTTGCTACCCAAGTCCCTTTGACTGATGAATTGCTGCCTCCTTCACAGGCAAGCAATGCATTTTTTCAAATGTACCATGACACTGAAGTCTGATAAGGAAGGTAAAACCTGTTACTGTAATGAACGATGCATAGGCTTTTCCCTCTCCCCTCCCCCCAACCCCTTAGGACAATGCATGTTGTTATGTTTGTTGTTGTTGTGTGCCTTCAAGTTGTTTCCAACTAATGATGACCCTAAGGAGAACCTATCATGGGGTTTTCTTGCCAAGATGTGTCCAAAGGAGGTTTGCCATGGCTTTCCTCTAAGGTTGAGAAAGTATGATTTGTCCAAGGTCACCCAGCGGGTCTTATGGCTTCAAACCTGTCACAGGGTTTTATGGGGCTCAGAGTGTGTGACTCTCCTAAGGTCACCCAGTGGGTTTCCTTGGCTGATCTCCAGAGTCATATTCCAACACTCAAATCACTGCATGACATTGGCTCTCTCAATACTTGTATTAAACTTTATATATGAAACTTCAATGAAATATATTAAACTTCAAATGAGAGTCAGTATGGTGTAGTAGTTTAACTGCTAGGCCAGAGTTTGGATATCTGCTTGGCAACAGAAACTTGCTGGGTGATTCTGGGCATGTCACACTCTCTCAGCCTCAAGGGCAGGCAAAAACAATCAGTTTCTGAACAAATTTTGCCAAGAAAACCCTGCAATAGGTTTGCCTTAGAATTGTCATAAGTCGGGAACAACTAGAAGGACACAACATCAACAATGTAGTTAAAAAGGATCATTGACAAACAATGCTGGGGGCTTGTTTTGTTTCCCCCCCCTCTATATATTCGCTTTTAGAGGAGCAAACCAGGTGTGTGTGTGTGTGTGTGTGCTTGTCTGTCTGTCTCTGTGAGAGCAAAATTTCCTTGATCTATCTTCAATCTAACATAGTGCAGCTCTTCAAGGTTATGCCACCTTTTGGAAATGTTACTTTTGAGGATGATGGCTCCCAGAATCCCCTAGCCTGCATGACTACTGGCCATGCTAGCCAAGGGCTTTTAGAATGGTAATCCCAAAACCCACCATTTTTCAAAACTCTCCTTCTTTGTGTACATCTAACCCAGGGGTAGGCAACCTTTTTGAGCCGGGGGCCGGGTTGCTGTTCCTCAGACAATTGGAGGGCCAAAGCACCAAAAATAAATATATATATAAATAAAAATAAATAAGAATTTTTTAAAAAATTAAAAAATATATGCATGCACACACTCTCAGCCCCAGAAAAGCCATGGCAAAACCCCTGTGGAGATTTTGCCAAGAAAACCCCAAGAACAAGAAATAACAACAATAATCAATATCATCATGGGCGGTGGCAGGACTGGCCTGGGGCTGGTCCAAAGGCCTCGGGGGGCCACATCCGGCCCCTGGGCCTTAGGTTGCCTACCCCTGATCTAACAGATGACTAAGGTTTCTCACTATATAAATGAATGCTGGCAAGTCTCAGGACAACACATTCTCCTCCCCTCTCTGTTTCATGGATCTGAGGTTAGAATATTTAGTTTTCAACAAATCAGAACGTCCCATTCCATCCAAACTCTGGGAGCAGACCACTGTTTGTAGCAACTACCTTGACCCCGCTGTGTTCCTATGAACTAGGTTTTAAAGAAAATACAGAACACACATTGATGGTGTAAACAGAAGTTTCTGTTGTCCTTCACCAACATGGGAAGGAGGTGAGAAAACTGGGGGGTAGAGAATGCATGAGCCCATGATTTGCAGCAGAAATAGTTTCCTATTATGTTTGAACTAGTCAATTGACTCAAGAAGGGGTAAGAGAAACCAGCACATGAAGAGATGGCCAGATATAAAGGATAAGCAGAGATGATGAGTGAGGGCAAAGGTTTATTTTTAATGTACCTGCTGGCCATTTGGTCTTGCCTTTTACAGAGATTGTTCAGGTAGTCTCAGGTTGCTTTTGGTCATAGGGAAACATTCCCATTTATCACAGTAGTTATGGCATTAATAACTGCTGCGATGTTTGGTGATATATAATCTCCTGACAGGAAATTGATAGCACTGTGGTCAAAAGCCGTTGAGGCCTTTGTGAAGTCTGACTTCACTGCAGCAATTCACAGGAATCCCGATTTACTCTGGAAGGACAACATGTCAGTCCATGCTGCAGTATCTTTCCAGTGTGCATGCAGCAGGAGTAGCTAAATAAACCATGCGTTATATCATGTGAATCTGGTTCCAGCTGCTGTTCTGATTTGTTTCCCTCCTAACAAATCAGACATAGGGGGGTTGCAGACTGCAAGAAATAGTGCAAATTGAGTCCACTTTTAGGGTTAGGGTTAGGGTTAGGGAATCATGGGAACTGTGTTTTATTGTGGCACCAGGGCTCTCTGACAGAGAAGGCTCAATGTCTCGGGGAAAAAACAATTCCCATTATTCCCTAGCACTAACCCTAACCCTAAAAGTGGACTCAATTTGCACTATTTCTGGCAGTCTGCAACCCCCCCATAGAATCCATGTTTGTTTCAGGTGTCTTTGCAGACTTTGTTCCTGGTTTGTTGAGAGAGAAAGAAAGCAGAGGTGGAGATGTATCCAGCTGTTCCTACAACATGATAAATAAACTCTCCTGCAGTTCCCTAGTTCAATGTGTCAGATGAATTAGGCAGTCTGTGGCAAGGTAAGCCCCAAATGGCCTAGGCTGCTTCCACACTGTAGAATTAATGCAATTTGACACTGCTGTAACTTTAATGGCTTCATTATCAAACTCCATTAATTCTCCAATATGTATGCAGCCCTAGTCAGAATAGTTAATGGTGAGAAATACTGGGAGATACACACCAATAACAGCTCTTGGAGCTCATGATTCCCACCTATGGCATTCACAAATCCTATCATATTAACCCCCCCTCTTCTTTGATTTACAAAATCCCTAAAAGGTTTTCACATTTTTAAAAATGACTCTATTGAGTTCCCTTTAACTAATTTATCTAAAGCCAATTCCTTTACTTTCTCAAACCACTTCATACATGATGGCATTTTATCAATCTTCCAGTATCTCACAAAAACCAATCTAGCTAAGAGCTTTATTGCATTACGAACAAACCTGGCAGGCAAACAAAGAGAATTGTGTTTTTCTTTCTGTCTCCACATGACTTTGAAGCACTTTCATTCTCTTCCAGTTGTGAAAGCATGGGAGAGGGTCATAAAAGTATTGTAATAGTGTCCCTTTTGCCAAGCTGGAAAAATCTGTTTGGGACACTTTTACTATCTTCTCCTACATTTTTAGAACCAGAAGAGAAGGAAAGTGCTTCGATACCATGCGAAGACAGAAAGAGAAACACGCTTCTCTCCATTTGCTGCCAGGTTTGTTTGCAATGCAATAAGGCTCTAACTCATTTATCAGATTTCTATATTCTAATTCCCTTTTATCCTTGTTTTTTAAATTTTGCTTTTATACTTGTACCAGTGCTTTTGATTTATTTTTAATTTGTATTTTTAAAATATGTTAGCCACCTTGCATTCCATTATTGGGAAAAAGGTGGGATATGAATGAATTAAATAAATCTATCTATCAATCAATCAATATCTTACAGCTACATAGGAGAAGAAGAAAGAGGCTGGACAAAGTAAAAAGATTGAGTGTCACTATCAGAGGCTTTAACTCAGGTATACTTTTATATTGATAGTATAATACTAGCAGAAATAACTCTCCATTCCAACCTTCTTCTGTCCTTTTATTTATTTATTTAGACTAAGAGGATTTAAAAAGAATTAAGCTGTGACTTCTTTACTCAGTGTATTGACGTTTGCCAATAACACCGTCAAAAAGGTTGTGTCAGTCATTTTTCAAGAACTGTCAACAGTGGTAAAAGAAAAT